TCACTGGCTGCTTCTGCTCCATTCAGATCATGAAAGACCTCCTCTGGTGAACATCTTCAACGTCAGCGCTGTTTTTCAACATCGTTATGGGTGATAACAACAGAGGACCAATGGCGTGGCATCAGATGGACCCTCATCTCAACGCTTGAAGATCTGGACTTTGCTGACGATCTCGCACTGGTCTCGCACACCCATCAGCACATGCAAGAGAAAGTAGGCCTGAAGATCAGCCAGATGAATGATGAACAACGCTTGGAGGTCATCCCAGTACAGCACCAACACCAAACTACCAGAGCTGTGTGCTTTCCCCCCTACTGGAGGATGACGGAGTGTGACCTGAACAAGTTGTCCACCTTGAACCTAAGAAGGCTCCTGCATATTCTCTGGCCTGAGACCATCTCCAGCCAACAACTTCTCGCCCGCTGTAACCAAGAGAGCATGGAGAGCATCATCATGCGAAGGCGTTGGGGATGGATCGGACATGACACCCGCAGAGAGCAGGGCAGCACCACTCGCTCAGCCCTACATTGGACACCAGAAGGTAAACGCAAGCAGGGACGACCCAAGAACACCTGGTGCCGGACTGTGAAAGAGGAGCTCAGGACCCAACAGCAACAATCAGGCTTGTGAAAAAATATCAATCTGGTGCCTTACATAGCCTAAAGCCTGCTCTGGTCAAACAGTTTTCTGCTTGCAGTTTTTAATTCTTCCTTCTAGCTTTGTGTTCTGTTACCATAAGGGGGAAATGCTCCATAGACACTCCATCAATTTCCACTGCTATGCAGATGACACCCACCTGTATCTCTGGTGACACAGATGTTTCACATATCATGTTCTGTCTGGTACAAATTAAAAGCTGGGTGGTGAACAGTTTTCTGAAGATGAATGACTCTAAATCATAAGTCATTATGATTACTCCCAGCATGAGCAGTGTAAACAGTCTCTCTGGGCTCATTTTCCCATAAATAATGTTCTTAAGGAGGCTGAAGTAGTTCACAGTAATGTTTGGCACAACTGAGACAGACGTGCTCTTACCTTCTCCAGAATGGAGGGAGAGACAATAACATCACACCAGCTCTTGCTTCACTTTGTTGTTTACCTGGAAGCTTGAGAAATCAGTTCGCTGCTTGTTTTTAAAACGTTGAATGGTCCATCTCCTGCCTATATCTGCAATCTGTTAACTCCCTTAGAACCTGATTGCTGCCAAGTGTTTTCTGTAACTCTCAGTCAGACCTCTGCACCTGTTGACAGGTAAACTAAGAAACTAAACAGCAACCATAGCTGCCAAGCTCATAAAGTGTCATAACCAGTGGCGGTGTTGTACAGGACTGCATCACATTTAAACTTGTTCCTTATATTTGACCTCAGTCGTGTGAGAGAAGCGTCACAAAAGTAGAAAAATAGTTTTCTCTGTGCACGGCCAGTGATTCTATTTATATCATATGGTGGGTCCCCAACCGGAGGTAGAACACCTGAAGAAAGACCA